GGGGAGGGAGGGGCGGGAGTAGGGCCGGGAGTGCTTCGTCGGACCGTAGAAGGGCAATTTCTCGTGTCCGTCCGTCCGTCATCTGTCGTCCGTGTAAGAGGAAGGAGATGAGCTAGAGGTTTACACATTTCAGGGTATCTAAGGGGTCACGCCTCGACAACAAAACGCCTGGTGCAAATCCTGGCAACCACCCCTTAGAGGGTGAAAGGGGGTAACAAAGAAATAGGGGTTGGTCCAAAAAGTAGGAATTTTTTTTTTCATGGTCTCCTTAGGAGTAACTCGTGAAAGTAGAGGCCTAATGGCGAAAATTTTGTCCGTTTGATTCTATCTTGTACCGGTTGGGCGCTAGAGTGCTTTTTCGACGAAATACGGCGAAAATGACCACGTTGCATATAAAGACGTACTAGCAGGCGTCCAATCGTAAAATGTCAAAGTACCCCCCCCCCCCCCAAAAAAAAAAAAAACAAAAAAAAAAACAACACATTCTTTATCAATACTCCCTCCCCATCCTTGCTGGTTTTAAATCCAGGACAACCGTTTTCCTTTACAGAAGGACCAGGTACACCTCTGCACCGAGTTTCAGATTTGAAACCAGCAAGGAGGCTGAGAAACTGCACTTTTTGTGCATTTTCGGTCGATTTTTGGTGATATTTTGTCTTTGACTCTTGTACCTTGCTGGTTTAAAGTCCAGGACCACCGTTGTTGGTCTGTAGACGGCCAGTTTTGCTCTCTGTACCGGCATTCATCGATCTATAGTCGGAGCCGCAAGCTGAGCCGTTTGTGGCCACAAGTAGGTCGGTCAGCTTGTGGGCATTTCTTGGCGAAATTAAATTGCCCAATAGCTTGTTAAGTCATGAGAAAGGATTCATATCGAAAAACTAAAGTACATCACATAAACCACACATTTTCAGCCGAAAATTGACCAATCTTAGAGTTCCCAGTCCCTAAGACCTCTTACTATCAAACGAAAAGTTAGTTACTATACGTCAGAATCTCACAAAATTGGGGCTTAAATGTACTCTCTTCCAGTTTTGCTCAAATAACATTTTGCATATTTTGAATAGGGTGTTCCAGGCTATCTAAAACGGAAGTGAAAAAGAACAAACTCACTGATTTTTCTGTTTCCGTCCGCCCAGCAGGAGAATCTACCATGGCGATCCTAACCTCTCAAATATGGAGGAGAGCTCGAAACTGACCTGACAGTTTCTCATACCTGAAAGGCCTCGGAGGCACGTGATAAGCCCGACCAATCAGAGCCATTACGGAAACAGAGAGGTCAGTGAGTTTGTTCTTTTCCTACTTCCGTTTTAGATTGCCTGGAACACCCTATTGATAATCCTGACAGTCGCGGTAGGAATATTTGATTTGGGGCCACAAAGGCCTTATTCCTAAAGTTATCCACTAACTTGTACCGGTTCCAGCGCCACAGGCCTGGCTATACGTGCGCCAGGCGCGTCGCAGCGAACCGGTGTTCTGGAGATATCACGAAGCCTGTTACGCGAGACGTAGTATGGTGTACGTACCTATGGCTAGTCTATGTCATCTGCTTCCACGTGAGAGGGAGCGTTAACGATTTTATGCACCAACTGAGTAATCCGATGACGGGAGACTTCCAGCTAAAGTCTATGTGCCTCTTGTTCCTCATTGGCAAATTATTAACAGTCTGGCAATGGTTAATTAAACACTAACGGTGGGCGAGCGCGGGTTCGCATTCAGGGCAAGTAGGAAGGTGCACCTTGTGGCCTGCCACTTTTTTGTGTAGCAGGTGCGGAGATAGTGTTTTCGATTGTGCAGGTTAACGTTTTACCGTCAGCCCAAGCTCACGGGTCAGTACCGATACCTCTAACGAATTTTCGGTAACAGTGGTACCAACAGAATGTATGAAGTTGGTGGCTGCCCGTCCCCCAATGAATTTTCCCTTCTAGTTAACTATAAAGCT